CTTGCGTAGCAGACGGCGAAACCACTGAGCTAAATCCCCGGCCTAAATATTAATTTTTTTTTTTTTTTTTTGGTACCAGGGATCAAACTTGGGACCTTGCACTTGCGAGGCAGGCACCAGAACCACTGAGCTAAACCCCTGGCCCCTCATGGATATTTGATTTAAGAAAAAAAAGAGATAATTTCCAACTGGATTTTCTCATTTTCTCTTTAAGTATATCCCTTCTTTGGGATTTTCTACACAGATAAATATGGCAAACAAATTATCTGCAAACAGAAATATTTTAATTTCCTCCTAATCTCTATGTCTTTAATTTCCATTTATGGACTTATTCACCATTATTTAAAAAATTATATAAGGATACAAATAAACATTTCAAAAGATTAAATCATTTTGATAATATGCTACAGAAAAGAGAAGCAGTGGAGCAGTCCTAATGGTTTGATGTCTAAAAATCTCTGAATTTTTGTGAGGAACTGCATGCTGTTACTTGACATATGTGCAATTGGAACAAGTATAAACAAGTCTCTGAAGTTAGCTAATGATGCAGAACTGTACACTGCTAACTAAATTCGGCCATAGTCAGAGATATCTCAGGAAAATGGGCTGGCTCAGCTGACCAGAGGCCACAGCACTAGTCCTGCTCCCTGGACCTCAGACTTGGTAGCTTCTTAAGAAGTTATGCACCATCCAGGATAAATGAAGACATTTGTAGGGTCAGGAAAGGCAGAAGCATATCAATTCTTTGACTTTCAGAAACATCCAGAAATTTAGTGACAGACTCATCATGAGTGAGTTTAATAATTCAAAGCAGAATCTGGGCTTCAAAAGAGGAACATCAAAATATTCTTGTTGGAAGTATATCATTTTTTGGTAAAGAATACAAAAAAAATGGGCCGGGGATTTAGCTCAGTGGTTTCGCCGCCTGCTGTGCAAGCGCAAGGACCCGAGTTCCATCCCGGGTACAAAAAAAAAAAAAAAAAGAAAAGACTACAAAAAAGAAGGAAATGTTACTTCTCTGTGTAGTTGATTTATTCAATCCCTCATTCATTCATCAAATACTTTATTTATTGATCAGATAGATACCAGGTATCTGTCTCCATGGCCCAAACCATATCTGGCAACAGATATTAATGAGCAGGGATGGTTTAGGTAAAAGAGACAGAGCAACAAAAGAATGTTTTACATTTAGGATGGGCTAATCTCATCAGAACAGCAATGCCTGTATTACTTCTACTCTTACACTAAAATGAATGGTTATTAAATACACATAAAAAAACCCAGGGTATTTTATTGCAAAGTATAGTACTTCTCCTTGATGACCTCCAAAGGTATGTCATAAACTTACTGCAACTTTGGATGAATGATCAGAACTTTCTGAATAAATGAACAGTGGACAATTACTTATAATCCATGACTTATGTCACTGCTCAATTAACACTTAATTTACTAAGAACTTAAAAGTTTTCTTTTCCTGATAAAATGCAGGCTTGCTAAAAGCAGGAACCATGCCTTGTGTCTTTGTAGCACTGGTACAATGCCTCCTGCAGACAGGCACAGGGTGCCTGATGCTGACTGGCAGCCTACTTTAGCATGGCCAGCCTCTGGCCATGAGTACAGAGAAGAGCAAGCAGGACTAAGTGGCCATGCAGATGCTTGGCAAGAAGGAAGAAAAAAAGCATCAAAATAGTTCTTTAGCTTTAGTAAGAAAAATAACTCAGGCGAGGCATTTTTATGCTACTTATTTTTGAAGGATTTGAAGTATACTATATTTTTAAAGAGTTTGATACTACAAAGATAAAAAGTAGACTTTTGGCTCATAAAGAAAAGGAATGAACAGAAAATGAATGACCGAATTCTTCTTAAAAAATATGTAGAAAAGGAGTTCTACTTTAAGGTGAGTTGTTGATCACCTTGACAAAAATGGAAACTTGAGACCTTTCTGATATGCAATTCACTCAGAACCACACACATCCCCTCATGTTTAAATGGTGTCACCTAATGACAAGTACTGACTCCATGGCTATAGCTAGAGATAATAAGCTACTATGTGAGACACTTGTAACTCTAAGACATATTTTTATTACTCAGATATCCATAAAGGAATATGCTTGTGGGTACAATCTAAATCTTCACATGTTCTAGTTCTTTCCTCCAATCCCTGTTAAAGACTGTGTTTGCCTTTATCACAGTCCTGCCAACAAGACTTCCTCTGTAGGAAGGATGTTGCATATTCCTCTGCAATATGTAGGTGTGGTAAGACTTATAGTGACTGCAGTTGTTTGGGTACCAATTGTCCAGGGTTAAGGGTAGGTACTCTAGTCTTATATTCTTTTTTTTTTGGTACCAGGGATTGAACTCGGGTCCTCGCACTTGCGGGGCAGGCAATGGAACCACTGAGCTAAATCCCCGGCCTAGTCTTATACTCTTAAATGGAAAGTTTGTTTCTGCCTTCCATTTGTGAGACAGCATTAAGCAAATATGTAGAGTCTCTGGAAATGAACAATTAAGCTACTAAAACTATAATTATTTGTATAATTTCCTGTTTTTGGATCTCTGATCTTATCCTTCTTTATCAAAATGGTTTCACGATTTTAGGATATTAAACAAAAAGTCTGTTTTCTAGTTATAATATGTGTAAATTGGGATAATTTCTCATGACAGTCCCAAAGATATGATCATCATGATAACAAAGCTTGATGTTTATACCTTACTTTATATTATTGGTGAGATATCTATCCTGAATATTAGAAGTATATGGCCATTTTGTATTTTTTTGAAGGAACTTTAAAGTCTTTATTTCATCAGATTCTTACAATAATACCATAAAATCCAAAAGGTAAAATGATTCACTCAGGCCCTCTCTGGCTAGTTACTAGTCAGCTGGCCTAACCCTAATTTGTTAGTGGTTAGCTCTACTACAGTCTGTTCTCTTAGCAGTTGGCTGGATTAGAGTCTAGTCTGTTAGTTAATGGTCAAATGGGCTAGAGGCTAATGATCTGCTAATCTATTCTGTTAGTGGTTAACTAGATTATAGAGTTTGGTCTGCTAATGGTTAACTGCAATAGAGTCTAGGCTGCTAGTGGTTACTGTACTTGGGCTAGAGTCTAGTCTGTTAGTGGTCAGATGGACTAGAATCTAGTCTCCTGAAGACACTTAATCTAATTTTTTTTTTTTACTATATCACACCACTACAGCCTTAAAAATCTGAGTAAATAATTTCCAGTTATCAACTATAAACCTGAATTTAATTGAATGTAAGTGGTATTTGTTCTCAGAGTTGATTGGGGAAAAGCCAGCTATGTGGAAAACTCCAAAGTTTCCACAATTTGTATTCAGAAAGCTGAGCTTCTGATACATATTTGCAGTACATAATGTTTACATTCCTTGTGTGGAGTTGGTACGTGTATACAACACATCTCCTTTTGAAGGGAACAGAGCAAGAGTTACTCAGATTCATGTGACAGTAGTGTGACATATGTGCCAGGCTCGAGGAGGACTGGCTACCCTCCAAGAACCTGCCTTTGAGGGAAAATAAACACCTTAATCTGAAATATTTGGTACAAGGACTTGCCCCAGCTCCTAGCCAGAGCTGGGAACAGATTCTTCCTAAGACACATATGCCTTGTTGATATGAGACCGCCTTTTGTGTAACATGATACAGGGAAAAAGCACGATGCAGGGAAAAAGTAGACTTTGGGAGACCCTTACAAATGCATGCAGAGATTCTGCCCAGTGGGACCCTGACCAGCCGCTGTCTTGAGATTTCCCTGGTTGTCCTCGCGTGTTGAGTCAAGTTGCTACCCTGACTGGTGATGTATTAAAACTACATACAGGACTTCTGGCCAACAGGACCCCGAGCCCAATTGTCCTCTCGGGACTGCCCCAGTTGTCCTTGGGTGTTGAGCCAAGTTGCTATCCGGCTGGTGATGTATTACTTCTATCTATCATACTTTCTTTTCACTATTCTTACTGCTTAACTTTGTAATAAAGCTATCTTTACTTTCGCTTTCTTGTGGTGTGGTGTGACTTCTGTCGCGGACTGAGCCTCAATTTAACTAAATGGTGCACTGGAGTAACTTGGTATTAACCCTCTATACAACACCTTTCCCTCTCCCAGTCCTTCATCTTGGTCCCCTTCCCATTTGAGAAAGATCTCTCTCTCTCTCTATTTCTTATTTATGTTTATATTTTCTATGCTATAAAATATGCTTTTATATGGGAACACAAACTCAAAACCTCTTTTAGGAATATTTTACTCTTTTTTTTGGTACCAGGGATCAAACTTGGGTCCTTGCACTTGTGAGGCAGCCGGCAGAACCACTGAGCTAAATCCCTGGCCCAGGAATATTTTACTCTTAATAGAGCACAGTTCCAAGCCAATTGAATGGATCATTTGTGTAGTGCCACATTAGTAGAGTTTTCTGGGTGCACTTTTTCTCTGAGCATCACTGAACAGTATACAGGCCCATAGGATAGAGATATAATCATTTTTCAGACATAATTCTGAAACGAACAACTAGAGAGAAGACTGGGAATGCACAAGAAATGCCTAGTTAATGACTCCATAGATTTCTTGTTTTTGGAATGCTACTTTCTGCAGCAGATAGACAAGAAGGTGGTCCTCTGGTGGGGTAACAATGCCAATCAGGTGATACATACCAAGTGAGCATACTTCATATAGACATGAGCATGAGCACTTTTCAGCCATTTGGGAAACTTGCAAATCTGTCTGTTAAATTCATAAAAGTGAAATTCTAATTTTATGAATGAAATGAGAACTCTCTTGCAAATACTTGAAAGAATTTTTTCCCTGGGACATTTTCCCCCTTTGAAGTTTAACTCAAAAAGGAAAATGTCAAAACTAATTAGGAGCAATAAAAAATGTCTGGGAAGACAGGAAATCATTATTCAAACAATGTTTCAAAATGCATGTTTTCTCCTTGTCCCACGGCAGGATGTGTGCTGTTGCTGGACAGAGGTCTGTCATGCAGTCATACCTTGGTGAGGTCCTTGTACAGCTCCGGGTACAGAATTGCCATTTCTGGCTTCACATCTTGGTCCAACACTAAAGAGAACACTGGGAACATGGTGTAGATAGTTGCATACCTCAGAAACCAAGAAGAACATTAAGTCAGTCTGACAGATGTTTATGGTACAACTATGAACACATCTGAGGAATTAAAGATGTGTCACAGTTTCCTGAACTTGAATGCTTTTATATTAACTGCTTAGTTCTCCTTAACTAAAAGGGAGCTGAAAACACTCCTATTCTGCAATTCACAGGGTGCCCAAAAAACCCACAGCCAGGGCCAGAGATTTAGCTCAGTGGCACCGCACCTGCCTTGCAAGCGCAAGGTCCTGAGTTCGATTCCTCAGTACCAAAAAACACAAAACAAAACAAAAAATCCTCACCGCCAATCCCAACACTATGTAGTACTTGATCTTCCTTCACATGATCCATATATGCAGGGCATATATGCAGAGCATGAACCTTGGCCAGAATGGCTAGCACTCAATATAATCTGAGTCTGTTCAATTCCTTCAGACAGGGATAGTTTTAGGTGCATCGCTGTACAGAAACCAATACATGGTCTTTCTATTTTCAAGTCCTTACACTTGTCAACAAAAACAATGATGTGCATGCAGGCTGGTCAAAATGTGAGACACACCAAGTTTCTGGGAGCTACCTAACCCAAGTTCAGTCACAAATTGCGAGAACGCACTTATCTGAGCCACTCAGAGGCCAAATTCACATTTCAGAAACAGAAACTCTTTACAAGGGAACTCTTGCACATTAACTCAGACCTACCCTTCTTTCCCTAAACTGCCTACCAAGTGTCCAAACTGGAAAACTGTGCGATAGCCCACTTTTTAAGCTCAAGTCCAGTTATTTGGTGTGTTACTATCTTCAAAGTAGAAAAAAACTGTGAAGTAAAAAGAAATCTCACCCCTGGGGTTTTGGGAACATTACCACCTAACATCTAACATGAATAAAATTATATTTAAAACGAAGAATGTTAAAATAATATTTGTACTTTGTAGAGTGGATTAATTCACTTTAGTTTTTTAACCCATGAACTCCAGTTAATAAAGCCTAACTGTGTAACAAATGTGACAAAAGATTAAGGTTTTTATTTAGGCAGAAGGTTGATGTGTACTGGTGTAAATCAAGAGACAATTTACACATTGTATACTAGTGAGGCAACTGGATAAGCCCAGCGAAGTTTCTGGATAGTGCCCAGCCTAGAGGGATGGAAATCTTCATTTTGATAATCCCTGTGTGATTATATCACAGGCACATTATGAAAAGTAGAACATGTAAAAGGAAATCACTGGTACTCTAGGGATAACCAGCGATAATCCCAGAGATAACCAGACATAACAACTGTTAAGATTTTGATATGTTGCTTCTGTTTTTAAATTTAACATTTCTTGTACGCTTTTCCTATTGTGGAAAGCTTGGTTGTTTCTAAGTATTCACTGGTACGAATAACATCAAGGTAATAAATATCCTTGCTTAGAATTTTCAGTATATCTATTTACGCAGGATACTTCCTCAAAAGTGGAATTACTAAGCCAAAGTGTCTATAGTTTCTACCAACATACACATCCACCAGAAGTGTTTAAGAAAAGGAACATTGCTAGGTATGGTGGCACACACCTGTTCAGATCCCAGCACTCTGCAGGCTGAGGTGGGAAGATCACTCTTGAGTTTGAGGCTAGCCTGGGCTACACAGTGAGTTCAAAGCCAGCCTGAACTACATAGCAAGATCCTGTCAAGTCAAAACCAAACCAAACCAAACCAAACCAAAACACCAAAAAGAATAGGAATGTTCACCCTAGCCAGGTAAGCGTATGTTTGTTGGAATTTTTTGAGTACTCAAACAGTGAGGAAAATAAGGGGGAAAGACATAGGAAAGAAGGTAGAAGGTGTGAGGTAAGCTCCACAAACACATATACAAACATACTGGGAAAGGACAGATGTGGCATATAACTTCTCATTATTGGCAGAAATCTGAATGGTTATACCCACAGCCAAACAGGAAAAAAACATCTCTGTGATCGAAGTAGCTTGACCTGGACCTGGAGTGGCCCGGTCCCCAGGATGCTGACAGCTGGATGGCATGGTGCACTGAGAAGAAAGAGGAGTGAGAGACGGGGTTCTTGGAACGTGATTTTCAGGCTGGGATAATGAACAGAATAGAAACACGGGGATGAGGGAAGTGCTGGAGACCATGAAACATGAAAACCATCCGGACAACCAATGGCTTGGAGGATCCTTTTGTGGCAAAACTGAGCTTTGTCCTTGACCTCTCCAGTCATTCAGTGGATGTGTTATGGGGTGACCCTGGAAAGAAGGCGCATTAGGAAAGGGCTAGAACCTCTGGAGGATGGGTGCTAGAACTACCCCTTGACTCTGCTTTCCCTTCTTGCTTTCTTCACCCTCACAATTCCAATTTACAAGGAACACACTGTTCTCTTTCTTTCCCCGGCATTTCTTCTTCCACTCAGTGCAGTCTAGTTGCTCTGCTACAAATCCACAGATCACACACTCATTTGAGCCAACTAATAATGTTCATGCACATAAGGTAAATGGAAGTTGTATATATTTTCAATCATGTCAAATATTTAAATAAATTTTGAGCTGTATGGAAGAATGCCTGACAAATGAATACTAGCATTCTTGCTGGATTAGAGGCTAAAATCCATGTTCCTCAGCACAGGTAGAAAGAGGCCTTTCATGACCCCACTAACTCTTCTATATACCTCACTGCACTTGATAACCCCACTCAACAGATTTTTCACATAAGCATTTTGCCTAAACTGTATCTTCTCCCCACATGCCTCTACATATCTTGTCTTTTGTTTTGATTTGAGATCAGGTCTCCCTGTATAGTCCAGGCTGCCCTGGAATTTATAATCCTCCTTCCTCAGGCTGAGATTATAGGCATGTACAACTATACCTATGCCTCCTTACTTCTTTTTAAACTCAATGATTTCTATTCCTCCATAAATTTTCAGATTAGAAGTTATCTCCATCGAAGGTTATTCCTGATCTCCTATTCACTCCCAGCCTAACTCTATAAGGCGCCCTTGTAAGTCCTCTCATGACATTATTTTTAAGTTCTTCTGCTGCATTTACACTTTGTCCTCTACTAGTCTGTTAATGTGTTTCTCCTCAAAGAGGTTCTAAATTCCCTAAGGACCTAGATCATCTTAAGACTCCAAGACAATAAGACTTAAGACTTAAAACAATAAAAGAAGGGAAGCAACCTCCAGGACATTTGTGCTTCTGCCAACAAGAAGAGTATTCTTTAGGCTGCATAATGTGTGTACAGAACATTCTGGAGGCCAGGGCGGAGGCTCTTGTGATCTTCTATCCCTTTTCCCTCTTTTAGTATAACTTGGTTCTTCTATTGCCATAGTAATTAACAGTCACAGAACACAGAGTTATGTATTCTCTTGGCCATGGAGACCTAAACGTGCAAGGATTACATTTCCTGATCACACCTCAGATGTTGAGAGCTCACTTCTTTTAGGTGAGCAGCCATCAGGGCAGACTAGGAATATGTGTGAGAGTGTGTGTGTGGTACCCACATGCTCTTCCACGCCCACTCAACAGCTTGAGTATCATGGGAAAAGATGGACTAAATATGTCTTTTTTTTTTTTTTTGGTACCAGGGATCGAACTTGGAACAGTATGTCATTTTTTACATGACATGATCACGTAAATAGATATGTTTTCTGGAAAGCAATTTGGTAGGGACTATCATAAGACTCCAGTATATCTGTGAACTTATATCCATAGATTCTATGTATAAAAATATGACAAGAAACATGGCCAGAAATTTACAGATAAACGAATGGTTTGCTGTAGATTTTTATTTATACCTAATGGTTGCTCATAGGACAACTGTTAATAGTGGTAATATTCTAATAGTCATTTAACATCTAACCTAATGGTCATTAATACGTGATAAATGAACAGCCATTAATAAGAGAGTAGCTAAGAATCACTAAGTAGACATGTAGGATTACCGTAGGCTGTGCCATAAAACTTAATAATCTCAGTGTCTCTTGCTGTAACGTCCCCATATATATGAATATTTGACATATATGTGTATATAATATTTGTACATGCATATATGTATATTAAAGTAAAGGCAAAGATTAAAAATCCATCAAATTGCTTCATTAATGGTTATCCTTGTCTTTGGATGGTGAGATCAAAGGCATAACTGTTTTCATCTTTATACTCTCCCGAGGTTTTCAAATTACATGTAACATTTTCTTTTATGATACAAGTTCTTTCAACTCTCATAAGACAAAGGATTAGAGGAATCCAGTCATGTTTGGTAGAGAGGATTATTACACAATAATACAAGATTTTCAAGAATAAGAACTGTCTCTTCTGGCCTCCTAGAAAAGGGGTTTATAGGATGTACTTTTATCTGAATGAGATAATTCAGAATAGAAAAAGGGAATGGGGGGCCGAGGATTTAGCTCAGTGGAGACACTGCCTGCCTCTCAAGGTCCTGAGTTCAATCCCCACTACAAAAAACAAAAAACAGAAAAAGGGAATGGGCCATTTTCTTGCTTAAGTACATGACTCTGTCCTTATCCCTAACATCTTTTCTTAAAGTTTTCGTCTGAAGTCTCTCAGGATTTTGAGACTGAAGGCTCAGCCATATAATTTCATGGTATCCTTAATTTTCTGCAGTGACTCCTCAGACTCAGAGGAGTCCTATTCAGAACACAATTCCGAGGAAAGCCTCTGTGTGGGTGCTCTCCCTTCGTCCCACATCTTTCCCAGAGACCACAATCTCCTTCAAAGGTTATACCTACCTGTCACTATGAGACTATAACCTGGTATGAAGAATGGGTAGTGGGCTGGTCAGCCAGAGGGAACAGAAACTATAAGATGATTCATAGACAGGAAAGCTCAAATCCAGGACTACTCAAATCACACTTGCAAACCAAGTACTGGCTTGGTCCAGGATCATGAAGACTCTGAAAATGAAGACTCAATAGCTTATCAGAGTGTCACTGGAAACAACCAGCAGATGGACAAGAGTGGAGAAAAAAGAAGATAACTCACTACCCAGTAGATTGGCCAGAAATATTGCTTGAGTCATTTCTAGGAAACGAAGAAGATGATCAAGAAAACAAAATAGAGGACAATGAAAATCAGAAGGACAAGGAAGGAATTCAGGAAAATGAGGGAAATCAAGGTCCTGATGAACAAATTCAGAAATATGACAAACATGATGACTTTGTCTTCTCTGAATGCACTGAGATGAAAAGAGGACAATTAACATCAGAAGGACAAGGAAGAAATTCAGACAAATGATGAAGAAAATCAAGAATCTGACGAATGAATTAAGAAATAAGACAAAGACGATGGCCTTCTCTCAAACCCACTCAGAAAGATTTCCAGCTGGGTAGTAGCTCCCCTCCACATTCAGCTCAGGTCACTCGTGATACATGTCAAGATGTGCCCAAGTGCACTGCAAACCACAGGAAAATAAAGATGTTATTCAAGTCCCAGAGAGGCCTCCAATGCTCAAGGAACATGAACTTGCTGAGGTGAGCACAGAGATACCTCGGAGGAGAGGAGGGGCCAGGCCTGGTAGAGGCACTAGTTTGGACAGCATCGGGGCATTACTACCTTCTGTGAAGCAGGGCAGGATGCTGGGTATCTGGCATTGACCGGCAGGGGGAGAGAGAAGGATGACAGCAAGAAAGGAGTCAAGGAGGAGATGTAGAGAAAATACCAAGGAGTGCTGAGGGAGATGGAGGGTAGAAACAAACGGGCTAATCATCATACCAGAGGAAAAAAAGAAAGTTCTTTTTCTAAAGGTCTCCGAGTTTCAGTATTAATGAGTTTTGAAACTGGCCATTTATAGTTGGGCTACTTCTAGTAAAAGGGATTGAGTTCCATACATGAGTAAATACTGACTCCATTGCTGGGATATTACATTTATTTAACTCATCCTCCTTTTCTTGACAGAATTAAAGGAAGAGACCAACAGCCAAAAAAACAAGCATGAAGGTGTCCTCATCAGTGCAGTCAGAGGAGAAGGAGGAGGACACCAAAAGCACAACTTGAGGCAGGCCATCTGCTGGATCAGGAAGAGGGTCCTCTCTGGTCCTGGCAGCTGAGTGATGGTCAGCAAGCCACCAGCAACCCCACCAAAAAAATAAGTCTTCTTTTTTTTGGTACTGGGGATCGAACTCAGGAACTTGTGTTTGCAAGGCATGCGGTGGAACCACTGAGCTAAATCCCCGGCCCCAAGAAGTCTTCTTATCTGTGACATAATTCAATCTCAAGAAACCTTCACAGAATTAGCATAACCTGAATCCCTAGATTTTTAAACAGTTTTAAAGCTCCAGCTCTACAATTTCCATAGGTTTATTTTTTCCTCCATAAGGTAAAATGTTCTTGTTCTCTAGGTCTACCTCTTTTGACATATCTTATTGATACAGGCTGAAAGTAGGTATGTTGTATAGAGGACTGAAATTCATTTTTAGGAAATTTCATGTAGCACAATGCTACCTAAACATAAGGCATCCTTCTTTTCTCTTTTACTCCTTCTTCCTGGATTTTATTAAATTTTATTGACTTTACCATTTTATATATTTTGTTCTGTTTTGTTATTAACTCACATCACCATGTTGAGAAGGCAGTAGCACACCATCAGACTCCCACCAGGGTGGTGTGCTCTGGAGTAAACTTCTAGGGCCTGAGCAAGTGGTAGTGCAGATCCAGTCACTTGGGAAGTTAATCCTCGCTGACAGTGTTTCGGATGTGTAGAAAGCAATTCTTATGGTCCTCGGGAACCATGTATGTTAGTGACTCCTCACTGTCTTGACTCAGTTACTGGCAGGGACAGGGACAGGCTGTTTCCAGAGGGCACAGAGGGGACACTAGGGGTCAGCCCTGGATGCCTGCCCTTGGAGCTTGTGGGGATGGTGCTAACACTGTGGTTTGGTATGCCAGAGAACTCAGCTGGCTAGTGTGGCCCAAATCACGACATCCTCCTGGCCTGGATTTTGATGCCATCAGTAAACAGTAGCATATTCTTTAAGCCACAAATGCTTTCAGGGAGTTGAATCCTTTTAAAAATAAAATTTTCTTACTGAACTTTTAACGTTAAGATCATTGCAGACTCCCATGTAGTTAACAGTGTTAACACAGAGATCCCTGGCACACTTTACTCTGCAAAGCCAGAGAACAGTCTCACCAGCAGCATGCTGACACACAGTCCTGACACAGAACACCTGCCGCCTCTCACAGCATGCCTCTACCTCTACCCACCTCCTTGTTCACCCCAACATGCCCAATTACTTTATTTCTGTCATTTTGGGACAGTACTTAACCTTTGAGCACATTTTCCAAAGCCACAGTGGAGGCAGTATGTACACCCAGGTCAGAGATATGAGGCCTTCTTTTCCTTAATTATATCATAGTGTGGTCAGTAGACTAATGGCCCCCCCAGATGTCCACATTATCCTCTTCATCATCACTGAATGTGATACTTTATGTGTTTAAGCCAAGGACACAGAGATGGGAGGTTATTCTCATTATCCGGGCAGGCCTGACCTAACTAACCACATGGATCCCTAAAAAAGGCCCACTGTGCTATAGAGGGACGCACCACCATGGAAGAATGGCCAGAGAGAGTGCTTCTGTTTTGAGTTTGGGAGATTAGGGGAGATGAGGCAGGAGTCCTTGGAATGAGAGGAGGCATCCCCTACTGATTCTGGCATGGGAAGCAGATGACTTGGGGACCTCACCTCTAACAATCTAGCACAAGCACAAACTGCTATTCCCTTGTATCATGCTAACTTTATTAGGAATTCTGGGAATTCAAAGGCCTGTCAGGCAAGATGGCATTTAGAAAGCACTTTTAAGAGCCCACAGGGGACAAAACCCATGTGTCTATCCTGTGTGTGGCTCATGGGGGAGCTCATGGAATGGAGAAGGGTGCTGGCATAAACAGGCAGGAAGGGAGCAAGCTAAGCCAGCCAGTTTTGATTCTGGGCTGGGTCTTGACTCATGAGCATGCTACTGAACTTTCTGGGTCCCTCTTACTCTTCTCACATGCAGAACAGAATGAGATGAGGATGAATGAGTGCCAGCAGTATCAAGGTTAGCAGTTGTGACCACTATTTTCTTTATTTCTCTATTCACAGGATGGAGCCCTGGCTGAAGTGAGTGACAAGCTCCGCAGACTGTAGGAGGGGATCAGCAGAGGCCTGGGCACACACTAACAGTTACATCAATATCTCTAGGCATAACCATAAAGAATGAGGAAAGGAGAAATTGTAATTTATTCACATTTCAGAGGAAATTTCTGTTTCTCAGATTTGGTAGGCAAGATGAGCTTAGTTTTAATTATAACTCCAAATTATAACCTGTCCAAGATAGTTCAGTGGCATTGAATGTGAGGTCTCACTGCTGCCAGGGACAAAATCTGGTAACTCTTTTGGAATAGGTCACATCTCCCCAAATTTAAGGGGGCATCCTGGTACTTTCTTCCCTTTCTGTTTCCTGGCTGATGGATGGTCACAATGAAGCACTGATCCAACAGCAAGAGGGCAAACTTGAGCAGCTGGCACTTGCTCACTCTACCCCTGCTAATAGCAATGATGAACGCATGTGCTGGCCCCTTGACTCTGTCCCTCTTGTTACACTTGGGGCCCTAAATCTCAGAACCAACTTAGTTCCTGACACAAATTATGCTTCATGAAAACAAAATCTAATGAAAAACTTCACATAACACTCTGTAAGGAGTTACTCAGAATATTACTCAATATTGCATACATAGTTTTCAAAGTAAGAGTTCTCCCACTGTGATGCTACAAGACATTGTGAACACTGAACTGCACTTACCCCACCATGAGGAATCCCTGGTACAGGGGGACAGATGCAAAGTAGAACACTGAAGAAAATACAGCCTTAAAAAAGACACAACACCATAAATTAAAAATACAATCACCATTAGTCACAATTATATCATTTGCATGCAGCTTCTCCAGAGGGTCTTACTATTAACATCTAATAAAAATATAATGACATTCAATGAAGGTGAATGTCCAGTCTCCCATGACACTGCCAAGCTTTTCTAAAACGCCATTGTCCTCTGAAGGTAATCCCAGGCACAAGGGACTTAAATACCTGCATGGTGGAGATAATGAGACCCCGGTGCATGACAAACTGGCCGAGAGCTGCAGACCTCTTATAGCTGTTCCGCCCGTGCACCATAAGCAGCCTGCCGATGTGTCTGAACTGTGTGATGGAAAAGTCTGCTGCCAGTGAGGCCTGCTTCCCCTCCTGAGTAGAAACATAAAGGTGCCTCTGCAAAACACTGTATGTTGTGAATCACATACTCCAAGATCCGAATTTTAGAACTAGGACTAAATTAAAAGGAGTCTGCAGGTCTTTCTGTGTGGCACTGGAACATATGGCATGGAACATATGGACATATGGCATGTCCCATGGTGACAGTGCAGCATGATTTAGAGACCCTTACAAGAGCCGGTACTAGTGCCTGCACACTTGCCCAAAAGCACCTGCATGTGGAGATCAAAGGGGTTTGCTCCCAAGTTCTTGAGAAGAATTCAACTTCAGTAATCTAGTGGTAGCACAGAAATTAAGAAAAAAGGTGGAGCAATGGCACTAGCCATAGGGAACACCACCCCCACCCCAAACCTTGTGATCTTGGGCCTCTTCAAGACTATCCTTTAACCCTCAGTTATATCAAATTAAAAAAAAAAACTTCTATCTAACAAAGTTGCTGTAAAGCACTACAAAATAAAACAGCAAAAGAAACAGTCAAATTGGAGTTGAACTGATTTTATAGGTCTTGCTGTGTATGTAACTATTTAGATAACTGTAGGGAGAGCAATTAAAGTTGACTCAAAGATAAACCTCAACCATGGTTTGGTTGGCCAGGAGACAGAAACACTTATGCAGAAGAAACACCTGGCATATAAAGCAGGAGAGAGAAGCTGAAGAACTATGGAAGGCCAAGAAGGGTAGAAGGGGCTCTGGGATACTCCATTGAATCCTAAGCATAGGTGACTTAAGAGAACAGATTCCTCAGGCCACTCTAAGAATAAGGAAGACACCAAGGGGTTATGGCACTAGTATACTTGGTATTAATCTGCATTTCACAGGCACCCAGCCACAGAGTTAAGAAAAGAAGGGAGGGAAGCTGGTCTATTTATCTCTCACCCAATTATGTGGCTCAGGCCTGGACAGACCAGGCTGTTATATATGTGCACACTAAATATGTGCTGAAAAGATGTAGGACCAACATGTATTGATGTCAAATGTGCTAAACGAATGTGTGCTGACCAAGTATGTGAGGTGCTGACCAAGTACGTGAGGTGCTGACCAAGTATGTGCTACATGCTCACTATATGTTGACTATATACTGACCACGTGCTGACCCAGTGTACACTATGTGTTGAAGATGTGACACAAAAGAACAAAAATACCTTTCCTTCAATGCCAATCCCACAGTCTGCTGCCTGAATCATGCTCACATCATTTCCTCCATCACCTAAGACACACAAACACATGAGACATTAAATAAAACACCTATCCATTATCTCCCCCTCCAATTAGGGATTATTTAAAAAATTTCCAGTAATATAGATAAAAAGCAATCTAGTTTTAAAGATGGAACATTTCTGCCTGTAATGTCAAGAAGCCGATCACTCTTAAACTTTTACTATGAGGGACGCAGCACCCCCATCCTCCAACAGCTGGCTGTGGGTGTGGCTACCGATCCACCCAGGGGGGCTCACCGATAGCACAGGTGCGCTTCCCGGTATGCTGTCGCAGCAGTGTGACAATGTGGGCCTTCTGGGTGGGCGAGCAGCGGCAGCACACCACGGCGGGGCATTGGCAGGCCAGCTCCACAAGCTCATGCTCGTAGTACTTCAGACAGACCTAGAAGACAGAGCCACACATGAATCCACCTGCACCACCCATGCTATTCTAGGTTCAAGCTGCAGGGCCTCAGCAGAACTGTAGGGGAAAGCCAGTGGCCTGTCTCAAGTGTGAGCGGTGAGCTTTCATTTCCTGGGTCTCACCTGTGACTTCACTCTGAGTATCTTCTGGCTGACCCCGTCCTGGAGGCTGGGAGACATGAGGGCTCACAGCCCTGTGGAAGGAAGAGGGCAAGGCAGGGAAATACCAGCACATGGGGGGCCCTGGCGGGAAAGAGCACATCAGCTGCAGAACTGGAGGCTTTGGGCAAGGGCAGTGGATGACAGGGGAGAGCGTCTGGGACAGAGGCCAGACCCAGGCTCGGTGGTCACAGCCCGGGACGAGTGGAGTAGCCTGCCTGATGTGAATGAGAGGGTCCACATCTTCTGAGACAAGTGCTTAAGCCACTCTAGGAAGGCTTCCTATCGCATTGTTCTTAGGGTGATTTCAGCCTCTTCTTCCTGGCGAGTGGCTCATAAGGACGTTTTCTGATAGGAGATTTTAAATACACAGGCATTCGTCAAGGAGACAGCATTAGTTACTAATTCCCTACCTTGGTTGAGAAAACTAAAAATTCCAAAAAACTGCCCAAGGGGCATGGAGTCTACTCATTCTGTCAGTGACAGGAATCATCCCCAAGCATGAAGAGCGGGTATTGGAAATCCAAGTTCTCACACCAACATAGTACCGTGTTTATTTTTCCCCAGTTGCTGGCTCCATAACAACAGTACAGAGCACATAGCAAGCGCTTTACAAGAGAGGCTGTGAAAGTTCCCTGTTCTGCAGCAGTCCATGTGGAGTTAAACTGGTGCTGGTACTAGAGGTGCTTTTGCTAGTCTGTTTGAACAGGGCTTCTGGCTACCTCTGTTCTGTTGTTTTTCCTTCTGTTCTCAGTGGGGCAAAGAAGCCCCAAGCCACATTTGCAGAGCCCCTTTGGGACTTCCCAGAACTCATTCTCATACAACATGACTATTTTAGTTTCCTTTCCTTATTTTCTCTTTGCTTTAACTTTCTCATTTATACAATTTTTATTCTCATATGACATATGTATCTTTTATTAGTCCTCCCAACCTTTTTTGGAACATATCAGAATAGAAGAAAATAGAATTAATGCTATCTACCCATCACTGAACACTGATCCAACCAAAATTTAGGATTTAACTATATTGGGAGGACAACAGCAAGGACGGACAAGGAAGCCCTCATCTTGCATAGCACGAATTAAATAGACATTATCAAAAGTTTAAAAGAAACAACAAATGCTAAAATATGAGGCCCCAAACAGTGTCAGTGTGTCTCAAGGGAAAATAGTGGGGAGCCATAGTAGGACAGTATGGCTACTTCAACTGTGTAACTGTCAAACTCTGAAAAACAGACACGAACTAAGTGCAAGTAACAACCAATAAGGAGGTGACAGGAAAGTGCCCTTATCTGGGAAAGAGAACAAGGGACCTGTGGGGCCATTTCCTGGGGTGCCATGGGGAGATTGCTCCCGCAGGGCCCACATATTCCCTAACACAGTGACAGCTAAGGAACAAGTACCCTCTGTGCTCCAGGTGGGTGTGGGACAATGATGGCTGCCCTTCAACAGGTACCATGAAGTACAGGCTGATGGGGTCTGACGTTTTGGTGTGCTGCTCTGAGGAAGCAAGAGGCATATGAAGTCTGAGGTGACCAGGTCCAGAGCCCCATGAAAAGCTGTGTGGAGAGAGCACCCAGCCATGCATAAAGTGAGGAATGGAGCCACTTTCCTGCCCCAGGACTAGCCAACAGCCAGAACCAAGGCCCTCCTTGTTTCCCATGGTCCTGTTTTGGATCTTGCACAGTCTGAGGTACCTTAGGAGTTAAAAGAAGGACAGGATCTGACTAGAGAGAGCCATTTTTTTCTCCCTAACAGGCAGCTCTTGTGTGTCTCACATGTACTTGGAAGTGGTGGTTTGGATAAACTCAGAACACGAGTCCAATGGCCAGGGCTGCAAGGAGGATAGATCTGGTAACAGTGAGCGGGACCCAAGACTACCCTGGGTCAGCTGAAATCAATCAACCTCTGAACAGTAAGGGACAGGATTACTCAGACATAGCCAGGATATATCATCAGGCCTGATGGTTCAGCAGTTGCATATCACTGCCATGTCGGAGGAACTACCCAACACAGCAGACAGGCAAGGCTGCTTGATGAAGCTTCATTCAAGAAGCCCTGGTCCATGGACATGGACAGACACATGCTTGGTTAGCAATCAGTCTTATCTCATGAGACAGACAGACACATGGTGGGCTGGTGACCAACCTTACCTCTAGGGAGTCCCCAGATATGACCAGTGCACAATCATGCTTTCTTCTAAATGCATTCAGCTCCAAATGGGCCTCCCCTCGACTTGTTACCTCCATTAGAGAAGAAAAAAGTATCACAAATTAAAATAGCTTCTAAGTTAGAGCCACAAACCAGGAGGACATTATTTGAGGAACCACAGTAAGACCTTTCAAATAAAGTATCTAGAAGGTACATATGAAGTCCTATAGCAAGGTCCTTTCAAATTTCTTTTGCAGTACTCAGGTGACTATGTTTTCTGATTTGCAACAAAAGAAAGCAGGAAATTTATAGTATATAGGGCAATGAGAGCACCACACTCTTGAAATTGATATGAAAGGATGCCTACACACTCTCCTACAATGTGGGAGAGTTACTGACATTACAAATACATTCCTTTAAAATACAGCACCAATGACTGACAATTTTCTAGTACTTTCCATGAGATAATAATTTACTAATGTGACAGGTACAGCAGGTGGGTATAGGTGTGTAGTGTCTTGGAGAATTCATCTCATAAATCAGAATGTCAGGGTCCAAGGAAGTTGAGTTACTCATTACTGGACATCAGGTAAGTGACAGATTTATCTAAAATCAGGGTTTTATTTAAAGTGGTTTTTTTCATAATATGTAGAATGATACAAAATACTTTTATAAAATTGCTTCTGTTTGTCTCTGCCACAGGTTTCTATTTATCTCATTTAATTTTGGTTTAGCATCTAAAGGATTAAGCAATCTAAATGAGTAAAATTAAAGTCATAATCTTGAAATGTCATTAATTTTAGAATGAAAAACATACTGTTTCTGACATTCTTTCTGTGGAGATTTTACGGGTCATAAAAGAAATGATGTATTATAGGAGAGAAATAAAAGATTCATAAATTAATGTCAGACTCATCTTTAAATAGGTAGGTTTTATTGTGAAACATTTAATTTGTGGTGCTGTAACACTGAAAAGTCAACAAAAATTGATCGGAAGTTTTATCAGAAGCATTAATAATTTAACTGCAAATAGAAGTCTGCAGGGCCTAATTTGTGATTCTGATGCTTTAAAACAAAATACATTTACATGTAAATGACACTACACTCAAGTAGCCATTTCTATAGGTGGAAACACTACATTCAGACAGCCACAGTCACAGATGTCCGCTTACCCACCATCAATCAAGATCCAAGGAACTTTTGTTTTTCACTTGAATTAAACATAGCTATAACTAACACATACAGAAACGACAAATTTAGGTCATTTGTATTAATTTTCTTAGAGCTAATTAAGAAAAGCATTTAATCTGAAAATGACAGATTAAAAACATATTTCCACTTAATATTTAGAGCTTGTTTTAGAAAGTCTCTGGAGCAATTGTAATGTGTGAAACTAATAGAAAAATGTATTTTAAACCAATATATACTTTTATACATTGAATAAAAAGCCATAACAGTATGCCTATGTAAAAATAGTAATAAATAATATTAATGGTATATCAGTTAAAATGCTTTTAAAATTTACCAAAAAGCAACTTTTGATCACATTTTAACATGTATTTATAAGAAACATATAACCACATATATATTTTCATAAACCAATAGGTTTTAATTGTGAAAAAAAATTTAAAAATTAAATGTGATTTAGAAACATACTTACTGGTCTGAAAATATGAATGTCTTGTGTCCTAGACACCAAATGTGAACTTTTTGCAATGCAAGTAGCCGTCTCGAGTTTATCACCTGTTAGCATCCATATCTATAAAACAATTTAAACTGGTGAACTTCAACAACGCAACTCTACTTTAATTTCTTAAAAGTGTCCATTTTTTGAACAGACATTTGTACACTCATTATTAAGGCGAAGTTACCCAAGTGTCCACAGACAGATAAATGGATCAACAAAATGTGGTCATCCACACAATAGCATATTATTCAGCCTTAAAAAGGAAGGAAAAACATTTTTGAGGGGTTAGGACTGGGAACAGAACCCAGAAGCCTTTACAGTGAGCTACATCCCCAGACAGCCCTGTTTATTTTATTTTATTTATTTTTTAAATTTTGAGACAGGATTTTGCTAAGTCACTAAGCTGCCTAGGCTGGGCTAGAATGTGGGATCCTCCTGCCTCAGCCTTCTGAGTTGCTGAGATTATAGACATATGCCACCATACCCAGCAAGGAAGGAGATTCTAACACAATGTAGATGGATCTTGAAGACATTATGCTAAGTGAAATAAGATAGAAACAAAAGGAAAAATACTGCATAATTTCATTTGTCTGAGATACCCAGGAAAGTCAAATTCACAGAGCCAGAAAGTAGAATGAGGTTACTGGGGTTGGAGAAGGGAACAAAGTTTGGGAAGATGAAAAGTCTGGAGACAAAAAGTGGTTTGTAAACATTGAGAGTATACTTCATACAACAAACTATACACCTAAAAGTGATTAAAAGGGTAAATTCTGTTGTGTCTGTATTGACTTGTTTAGGTAAAACAGGTAAGACCAAAGTGAGGTTTAGATGCAGCAGCCGAGATCTGGAGGTACATGACTAAATCTAATGCAGATTCCTACAGATACCCAAAGGCAACATTTACATTCATACAGTCTTGACAAGGCAGCACACAGAGCTGGGAGAAACACAATGCCCTTTATTTCAACTTGCTGGTTTTTTCATGTGGAAAGTGACTTAAGCTCAAATGAGCAAATGGCCCATAGGTAGGTCAAAAGTTTTTTATATTGGCTAAAACATGTCAAACAGTGGTATTTTTACATTAAAAACTATACATACATGTGGGAAAGCTCTGGCCAGAGGAGTGCTTGAAATAAAGGTAAAGATGAAGGGACCTTGAAACAACAGTTCCCAGGCTCCTAGAAGGCATGGTTAATGATCAGAGCCAATGTGCAGAGGCAACAAACTAAGCAGAATCAATAATAAATTATTCTCAGAGATGTTTGCTCTGGCCATTGTGTTTCTCCTACCCTCTAGTAAGTTTCCTGCCTGTTAAGTTTGCTACAACTAGGCTGACATGTGTCAAGTAACAAGCCATTCCATTTCTTCCCTGTCTCCTGACCAAAACTCCTATATAAATGTTGCAAATGTTTTTCTTCTACATCTTTGTTCTCATGTCCTTGGGTTACAAAAGGCCAGGGGATTCTCAGATTAGCACTACTTTCCCTGAGACTTGAATCTCTGAATCAGGCCCTCTGGACCTCTCGGTGTTTGGACTAAGTGTCATCTCCAATCTTTCAGCTTCTGTGCTGCCATGGCTGCATGCTACAATACACACACGCATATATGTGTGTATAAATATCCCTAGACTAAAAGTAAAATATCAGGGCATTTAATATATAAAAAACTTTTTATTTATATGTTACATAATTTCAAAAAACCTTCAGAAATATTCTCATTATCTGAATTATTCAGACTTCTTATGTACCATACAGAAAGATACATTTTTTGGAAACAGAAAAAAAGTTACATGGTATACTATTTTTTCAGGTATACTGCACCTGTGGTTCTTCTCCAGTCTAAAGATTTGTGCTGTTTACTTCATACATTTATTTATTTATTTTTTGTACTGGGGATCAAACTCAGGACCTTGTACTTCCAAGACAGGCGGTGGCACCACTGAGCTAAATTCTGGCCCCTACTTCATACATTTTTATATTCCCTTTCTGGAACTAAAGGGATGAGACATTACTCTGACAAAGTGGAAAAGAACTGCCAAGCAACCTGTGGATCACTCAGGAGATGCACATGAGATCTAAGGTCTGGTCCTTTACACAAAAATCTTACACTGTTTAGCAAACAACTAATATATAGAGTCTGGCAAAAAAATATATACACACCTCAGTAGTCTGCCATACTAATTAGAAAGCTAAGGACCACCATTTCGAGCACCTCCTGTAATTGTAGAAGCCAAAGGTAACTTGTGGTGATCTCATGATGCCTCAATAAATTTAGTATTAAAATATTTATACAAGGTTTTCTTTTCCTGATGCATACATTTTTTTTTTTTTGGCAGACTCTGTAGGTACCTGTATCAGTTAGGTTTCACTAGAGGAACAGATTCAATATAAAAAAAGATAGATAAAATATTTACAAAGTAGGTTTTCAATGGCTTCCTAAGGAGCCCAGGATGGAAGAATGCAAAGGGGCTGTGTGTGTGCTGGAGAGCTAGAGGAACCAGTCAAATGTCAAAGGCTTGGAGTTCATTGCAGTCTGGTGCAAGTCCGTATCAAAAAGCTGAAGGATCTGTGTTGAAAGGCTAAAGAGTCTGCACTGAAAACCTTAAGGGATTGGAGACAAATGCCCAAAGGCAATGGCAAAGATGAGTTTGTCCAAAGAAGCAAAAAGGAAGACTTCTTTCTTCTCCCCCTCTGTAACCCATCTAGGCTATAAGCCTATTGGCTAGTGCTACCACATCCATGGTAGGTCTTCCCTCCTCGGTTTAGGGTCTGTATGTCAGCCATCCACAGACACACCCAGAACCCTACTCCACTAATTCACTAGGTATTTCCTAATCTATGTAAGTTGACATCACCATTAACTGTCACAATCCACCCCTTGTCAACTTGACAACATAACCATTTACTTAAACCACATCTTAGTCTCAATACACAATAGCAAATTCATAATTATGCTCAATGTGATACAACTATCCTGCATACAAAAGAAAACGCACTAATTTCCTCCCCAGAATACAAGACAAAGTTTTTCTTTGGGTGATGCTTACTCTTCTAACATTTCACAACTTAAAAACATATAACATAGTTTTAACAGTACTTAAGAAATGATATTAAGTCTATGAACATTATGTTATGAAGGAAGAAAACAAAGATACCTGCTTAATATATGTCGACATGTACAAAAGCATATCAACAAAATACAGAAAAACAATTACAACCCTTGTTTCTTTAACTGGTCACACAGTCATATCTAGTATTTAGAACTACCTTCTTCTACTACCCCTTCTGTATTCCCTTGGCTTTCAGCAAGCACCTCGCAAAGTCTTGGTTCTTTTCCTGGTGGGATGACCCCTATCTTCACTCCTGAAGGTTCTGGGCCATTTGTTCTCCTGCCTGGACCGGGTTATTGTATTTTCCTAGTGACTTTAATAATACTAAGAAGTACCCTAAAGCACCTCCTGCACTCTAAATATACTCTTCCTTTCCTCCACTGTGGATTAATAGTTCAATTTCCCCTTGGTAGTCTGGATCAGTCACCACACCAACACTATAACAACCTTTTTGGCTTGTGTGCTCAGAGGCATGAGATAGCCTAAAATGAACAGGGGGAAGATTTCATTCCCAGTTCAATAGAATCATTGTGCTTCCTGGTCCAAGGAAGCACAAGTCGTGGGAACAGGAAGCAAAAATTTTGCTAGTGGATAACTAGGGATAATGTTGAGTGCTACCATTCCCATTTCCACCCCTTGATTCCTGGACCCATGAATCCTGGCTATGGGATAAACAGTATCAGAGAGTAGATGCTGAGTCAAAGCATATACAGCCTTCTATAGAACTTTGCTCCAGCCCTGCAAGCTATTGCCACCTGGCACTGTATTTTCATCTTCAAAAGGCCATCCTATCTTTCTATCAATCCAGCTGCTTCTGGATGGTGAACAACATGGTAAGGCCAGTGAATTTCATGAACATCAATCCATTTATTACTTCACTTCTTTGGCCATGAAATGTGTTCCCTGGTCATAGGCAATGCTGTGTGGAATACCATGAGGGTGGAAAAGACAATCTGTAAGTCCACAGATGACAGTTTTAGCAGAAGCATTATAATCAGCAAAGGCAAATCCATACCCAGAATAAGTGTTTATGCCAATAAGGAAAAAGCGCTGCCCCTTCCATGAAGTAGAGGTCCAATATAATCAACTTGCCACCAGGTAACAGACTACCCCGGGGAATGGCGCCATATCAAGGATTCAGAATTGGTCTCTGCTGCTGGTACACTGGCCATTCAGCAGTGGTTGTAATAAGATGAACCTTGGTGAATGGAAGTCTATGATGCTGAACCCATGCATAACCTCCATCCTTGCCACCATGGCCACTTTGTTCATTAGCTCATTGGGCAACTACAGAGATAGCTGAAGAAAAAGGCTGACTGCTACCAACAGAACAGGTCATCCTATCCACTTAATTAATATCCTCTTCTGCTAAGGTCACCTTTAAGTGAGCATTTACATGGGACATGAGTATCTCTATATCCTTCACCCATATGGAGAGGTCTGTCTACATGTCTCTTCCTCAAATATCTTTGTCACCAAAATTTTTCATTCATGTTTCTTCCATGTCCCTGACCATCCAGCCAGACCATTGATTAGAGCTCATGAATCAGTATATAGTTGCACATTTGGCCACTTCTTCCAAGTAAAATATACAAACAGGTGCATATCCCGAAGTTCTCCCTATTGTGAAGATTTATTTCCCTTCACCACTGTCCTTCAGGGATGTCCCAGAGAGAGACTATAGTGCTGAGGTTGTCCACTTTCCGGTGGTACCCACATAATGTGCAAGGCTATCTGTAAACAAGGGCCAGGGATTTAGCTCAGTGGTTCTGCCGCCTGCTTCACAAGTGCAAGGTCCTGAGTTTGATCCCTGGTACCCCCCAAAAAAAAAAAAAAAAAAAAAAAGACTATCTGTAAACAAAGCCCTAGTCTTCTTTTCCTCTGTCATACAGTCCATCCAAGGAGGCCAAAGGCGTATGATGGGGGACAGACTGGGGAAATGTATATGAGATCTAAGATCTTGTTTAAGTGTCCCTTCCAGCTTTGGAGGAGTATCTGGAGTCACATCAGGTATGATGTACATGCAGTAGAGGAGCTGGTCCTTTACACAAAATTCTTACACAATTTAGCAAAGAACTAATATAAATACCCAAACCTTTATAACAGGAATATTTACTACCTTAATATGTGTATAATCTATCATGTACAACTAAGAAATAGATTGACGGTTTTTTGAAATGAAGAGGTCATTTGCTTTTTGCACAATGCACTCAAGCTTGGGTAATTTAAATGCAGAGTCTGGATTGCTCTCCCTTAACTATGACCTCTTGTCTAATCTGTCTGATATTGGAGCAGTGTCATGGTATGTTGTCTGCTACCAGCTGGGCGATACCAGCTCTCCATATGCCTTCACCCATGTGAATCACCTCAGAAATTGGGGGTGGATTGGTGAGATGGAGCCAGGCATTGCTTTGCCTCCAATCTTCCCTTCAGTTTGCCTCTCTCATCTAACTATAGAATTTTTCTTTCAAAGCAAATTTATACTATTTTTCTATCCTCAAAAGTAGGTCTCAAATCCTTGAGGGAGTATTACAATAAATTTTCTGTAGAAGTCTATCACCGGACTCTAGGCTTCAATGAGAATAGTGAGTAAGGGACCAGGGACTTAGCTCAGTGGTTTCGCCACTTGCTGTGCAAGCGCAAGGATCCAAGTTCAATCCCTGGTACCAAAAAAAAAAAAGAATAGCGAGTAAGAAAGTAGCTTCCTAAAAAATAAAATGCTACAAAGTATTAGTTCCCCTGGACATGAAGGGACAAATCAAACCAGTAAGAGAGCAGTAGATTAATGCACAGAGAAAAGAAGCATTCTGCCATGTGCCTTCCAGGGACAACACCAATATACAACCCAACTCATACTTCATAAGGAGCTATACTCCGTCTGTCAAGAATGTCAGTGGGAATACTGCAGGCACCATGTTTCAACTGCCAACCTGCCAAAACGGGGCAGGCGTGCAAGGCAAAGGGAGACGCTGGAGGAGATACTGTCCTCTTAAAAGCCCTCACGCCGTGACAAGGTGCTGGGAAAGAACTCACATGTGTTTGACAAGAAGCTGGAAAGAGAAAAGCACTTTTGTGTTTGCTTTTACAGGCAAGAAGGATCCTGTTGCTGTGCTCAGTGGTCAGGCAGGAGTATAAGGGGAGCTTATCATCACAGGCTCCTTTGTGCCTTCTGAGTCTGTGAGTGTATACATATAACCTCAGATACACAACTAAAGTGAACAGACAGCACAGGCTTTTGCATACTCTCAGCTAATATTCAGATTTTGTCTATGGCTTAGAAGCCCTGAAACACAAGGTGATTCTGTATGTGCATGACTCATCAGTGTGTGAAATCCAAACCTGAAGCATTTACCTAACACCTGAACATGCATAGGTCCATGAAACCTCACCAAGGCTGGGGTCTGGGATGTTTGCAATCTACTGCAAGAAAAATATTTATATTCAGACTCTATGATGCAGGATTTTTGATAGGATTTTGATAGGTAAGGAAACCTCAACTGGCAGGGCATGTGGCTGAACTAGGGACACCTGGTGGGGTGGGCTGATGGGCCTCACATCTATCTTTGGGAATTATGTGTGTTTTGGGGAGGAATGGGCAAAGCAGAGAGTCTGGGGGCAGGGGCAGTTTCTGAAGGCATTTCTGGAGGTGCACAGGCTATGGTGGCAAGGAAAGATAGGAGCTAGGGTGGAACTTAGCTTATGAACCTCTATGTTATCTATCATCCCACAAGACTGACATGGAAAAATATTTCAAGTGAAAACAGGAATTTGCTTAAAAGAATGCCATGTGGGTGTGTAAATACTGAATAGTTACACTAGTGTGAGAAACTGACAGTGTACACAAGGGTTAAGATGATTAAAATGAATAATTGATAATTTGAAATAGGAAAAAAGGTCCACAGACGAAGGAGTGAAAGGAGGGGAAGGGGAAAGGAAAAACTATTAGAAAAGAAAAAAAAAAAAGAAAAAAAAATGGAAATGAAATCTATGTAAATAGGGAAGAGCAGAGGGGGAGAAGGGCGCACAGGTAATGGGGGGAAAAAAGAAAAGAACCAAGATACATCATGTACAGGTACAAACGCCCAATGATAAATGTAAACGAATTGTATACCTAAAATGTACCAATAAAAGAACTAAAAAAAAAAAAAAAAAAGAATGCCATGTGGGGAGCCAGGAGCAGTACACTGTACCTTGATCCCAGCATTCCGCAGCATCTCCAGCGTGGGCCTCACATCAGCCTGCAGCTGATCCTCCACCCCAGTGAGGCACAGCAGCTCCATCTCCCTCTCCAGGCTCTCCACCACTGCGGCCACCTTCAGGGTCCGGTCATGGATGCTAAGTTTGGCTTGACTATATCGGCTCTGAGGACAGAGGGGACACACTGTGTACACGTGTATATGCACTCTATATGTGTGCTGTGAACAGCTGGTTTCTCATCATTCACTACATAAAAATTTATAATATAGGTAGAGCATCTCTAACTAGAAAATCTGAAATCTGAAATACTTCAAAATCAGATATAAAATCAGATACAAAAGTAGCACTATCATGATCCTCAAAAGATTTCAGATTTTGGAGCTAAAATTTTCAGGTTAGGGATGCTGAGCCAGTTGAATCTATACAAATATTCAAAAAATCCAAACAACTCTGAAGTCTAAACCACTTCTGTTCCCAAGTGTGTTGGGGAGGGACAAGGCATGCTTAGCCTGTCCTCAAGAAATGGAATTTTCTGGCTCTTGTTGACACCGGAGGCACTGGGCTTAGAAAGAGGTTTCAAACTGAGCTAGGCTGCCCTGATACTGGCCTCACAATGGCATGTGCACATAATTAGGACTCATGTCAGTGCAGAAACAAAGTGTCCCACATGGAAGGCAAGTCTGCAAGCGGTGGCTGACTGACGTTGGCTCACCTCGAAGTCCTGGTATTGCTCTTCTGTCAGTGCCCTCTTTGCCACCACAAGAGTCCGGAGCCCTTCTCGTGCCATGTTTCCACACTGGAAAAAGTCAGACCAAGTTACTCATGGGTTCCCCAAGGAGCTTGATGTGACAGTGACATGGCCTCATGGTGCTGTCAAGGCCACTCTGGCAATGCTACTGTGCTGTGCTCACTGCTGTGTGGGCCCACTGTGCACAAGCACGGGGGTGCTGAGGGCCATAAACCTCACATAGTGCAGTTGGGTGTAACTTCAGCAGAGTGCTTATTCCAGTAAATTCAGTATTTTAATCTCCTAATCCATACAATGTCACTAATCTTACTGTTCCCTTGAGGTGAGAGGGGAAGAAAGTTACTGGAGGTGGGGCCAATCTGTTCTCCTGGTAGTAGCAGAGCACTTTCCTATCACAGGGCAGACTCTTCCTTCAAGTCCACTGTTCTTGAAGTTTGACATCAGATTATATGCAGCAAGTAAAATAAGGAGAGTACAGATGGTGATGTGGAGAAAGACCCGGGGGACTGAGAAGGCCTCCTGTAGAATGCAGAACTGACCTCAGGTTTAACAGGCTGGGTATAAAAGCTGTTTCTGCCATATACTGCTATGTGTTCTTGGGCAAACCACCTAGCTATCCTTGCCTCAAGTTTCCACATCAGTAGAGATGAACTCCAATAGGGATGTTCTGGGACTAAGTCAGTTCATGTGTGTAAAGTCTTATGGCAGTGTCTGACAGAAAATTAGTGCCACAGACATTCATTCTTGCTGTTGCACTATACTCAATTCATCTTTCCTAGTCTTTTGGGCCAGGTATACAGGGTCAGAACCTTTAGTCAGGGCACTAGTGAGAGCTGGGGCTGGCAGAGCCCCACAAATCTGGCCCTGCAGTTCAGGTATCATGAGGCAGGCAAGGGGGAACCTTGGAGTCACCACCTGATTTGCTTGTTAAAACAATGAACAGGCACACCTGTAATCCCAGCAATATGGAGGCTGAGGCAGGAGGATCATTGTGAGTTCAAGGCCAGCCTGAACTACAGTGCGAGACCTTGTCTCAGCAAACAAACAACAACAATAACAACAAAAACAAAGCCACCCAGAAATACATTCAATAGGTGTGTGAAAGATATGAATCCCATTCACAGTAAGATGCATCAAAATAATAAAATACTATTTTCCCCCATTAGAAGCAGAAACTCAATAGTTTGAGTTGTAAAAGGTTGAAGAAACAGGTCGTGTGAGCATACACTTCTGTACTCCCAGAACTCTGGGAGGCAGAATTGCAAGTTCAAGTCTAGCCTGGTCAATTTAATGAGACCTTGCTTCAAAAAAAAAAAAAAAATTATAAAAGACATGGGGATGTTGTAGCTCAGTGTGAAGGCCCTGGGGCCAATCCTCAGTACTGGAAAAAAACACAAAATCTAAACCAAACCAAACTAACAGCGCACCTAGGCTGTCTGGTACAGAGTCAGCAGGGACAGGGGCATGCTTGTTTGAAGGTAGTCACAACTTTTTTCAAAATTTAAATTGCATCATCCAGGGACACCAACTTTGGAAATTCAGCCTACATTTGCAAATGGGTATCACAATGTATCTATATAACTGGTGGTGAACCTATGGCATGCATGCTGCAGCAGGCTGTTTGTATCATTTAAAGCTCTAAAAGGTTTGCCATTACTCCCATGTTAGATCAGTCCTTGTCAAGTTGTATGGGTGAACAGGGGTTAATTTAAAAAAATTTGAAATGGCACATATGTTAATAACTGCACTGAGGATTTTTGTCACAGTCAGTGAAGAGTGACATCGAGCTGCACTACCAAGTCTTGTGACCCTCACACTCCTCAGTACCACTCCCTCATGGGTTAAGTGGAAGCAGCAACCATCTCTCAGGTGGATGTACTGATGTGGAAGATGACCAGGGAATTCTGGGAGATGTACAGAAGCACGTTCCAGTGGTGTGCGACACAGTCCTGAGTGATAAGAAACTGTTAATCCCCATCTCCTATGGGCACATTCTGCCAGGCCAAGAAGAGGACTGAGGGTAATGGAGGCAGGTGGAGGCCAAAGGGGATGGTGGGCCTTCTGGAGGCCAGGCACTGTCTTTGTCCTCAACAGCCATGAGCAGGCATAGTCCTGCCCCAAGATGTCAGTATTCTAGGGGCACAGAAAACAAGCACATGGGACAGAGTGCTTGGCTCTCTGTGATACTCAAGAGGAATGTGGGCCATTAGGAATCACCTCCTCTGGGAGAAGATCTTGGAGCAAAGCCTGGGCAATAAAGGAGCAACCTTTCTTCTGCTATGTGGAGCAGGGCAAAGATGCAGGGACAGATAGCAGTCTCTTCCACCAGGGTACAAACACACAAGAAGCACCACAGTTTATTACCAAGTGCCCAGAAAGTATCCCTATGCTTTAAAATTTGAAAGTCGGTTTTTCAGAGTGTGGTATGTTTTATAAAAAACAAAATTTTAGAAACTAATAATGAATACTTAGCTACACTACTGCTGAACTATTAAGTTTTGAAAAACAATTTCTACCCACTGAAATAATATAATTTAAAATGTTTTAAGGTGACTTTCACCTACTGGCAGGTTTATTTACACTTTGAGGTTCAGAATGATTTATGAACTCCTTTATCTAGTTCTTTTTGTCTCTCTCAAATTTCAAATTCTGAGGGACTACTTCAAATTTTAATAACTTTTAAATGCTCCAAACTCCAGTGTGGTTAGTTGTTTAGGGCCTTTGTAGTTGGCAATAGAGAGAACACAGATCTGATCACTCTTCCCTGAAACTGCAAGCACTGTCACAGCCCAAGCTGGGGCTCCCAGCTCAGGCTCTGCGACTTCGATGGAGATGACCCCTGCATGGGATCTGGCCAAGGTGGTGCTGGGATGTAAAGCCCGGTTACTATACACTGGTACTAGACAGGAGCCTTTCAAAGGTGATAACTGCAAATTCTCAGGAGTACATTATAGCTAGAGAACAGTTGGTCATACATGATTTCCAGTGCTTATTTAAACATGTGAAGTTGATAACATGCTCCCATACTTCAGCAAGGGTATCTTCTTTCCATGACAGTGATCTTGTTGTAGAATACTATGACTGATTATAGAGTCTGCACTGTAGGAAACGAAAAGTGACCATGGTCCTATGAAGGCTCTTGTGGCCTCTGTGATGTTGCACAGGCACAGGAAATACTGACATAGGCTGCAGCTGCCACAGACAATGCAGACAGTGAGAGTGATGGGTAGTCACGCTTCAGAGAGAACTGGAACTGTGTGTCTCTAGTGTTTTCTATGTTCAGAACTAGGCCACAGCAGGAATCCCATATTGCCCTGGGAATGCTGGTAAGCAGTACAGACTCAACACTGGGCCCATCATGGTCTCCATGGTCACAGGCAGGGAGGGGACTGTCACCCCCTCATCCTTTTAGTGCAAAAACAAGCTCTCCATGTGGGATATCTACTTCTAATAAGGCCAGTGTACTGCATCTGGCAGTAGATTAATCTGTAGGCATATAAAAATGATTAAACTATTCAGATTTTTGAAAATTCCTTTTTAATTCATCCTACTTATTGGATCTGATGCACACTGCTAAATTTGGAGGCTGTGGTAGGCATCAGGCAGGGCTGGAGAAACCCTTGGTCCCGCACTGCCCTTTAAATGTCCATGAGCTATGTCCATCCCAGTGTCCATGTTCAGGATGCCCATATGACCAGGATATGGAGATGGTAAAGGGCACCATCACTGCATCACATGAGGATGTTCACAGGATCAGGTTATGCAGATGAGGGAGGGGACTTTACTGGAATACAAAGGTGAGTTGTGGTTTTTTCCCCTGGGGATAGCATGCCAAGATTTAATTCAAGTTTGTCTTAAGAGAGAATGAGGCTGACTCTCTCTACCCCTCTTTCTACTCAGAACATTATTATTTTTAGTATGTTCGCAGAATTAAATATTCTGACATTTCAGATTTTCAAAAATGACCCTTTCCGTTATATCATCAGTAAAGAGTACTTTTCCTTACACATTTAAAGAACAACTGTTTGCTGTAGGAAGCCAACCCTAAGACCTACTTGAGGCAAAAAGCTTACAACAAAGCCAGGCTCTGAGAGCCATTGCTTTGCTTTGTTTCTTAACAGAACAAGAGGCTTTCAGACTACCACATTACAAAAAGACACTGGTGTAGGGTCAAAAGATTTATCTACAGAAAGGAAATATAATGTTGAGATAATAAATGTACATAGGCATTTTAATAAAGTTATCTGTGTGAAAAGCAATCTGACATATCTGTCTGTTGCAAGACATTTATTGATTTGACCTCATAAAGCTAAATAAATTAAACAAGTATTTTACAATTAATTGCACATCATTATGACCAAAAGTAATTTTTATGGCATTTTACTAGGTCTTCAGGGAGTCTAATTTATTCATGCCCCTGATTAAATCAAAGTGCCCTCAAGGAGCTATTGATTCATATTGCCAATACTATCTCAGACATCAGGTGTGGCTGCTGTCCAGACAGATCTTCTCTGAAGTCTGAGAGAGATGAGAGATACTAACACCGACAATAACACACAGATAGGAAGAAAGTCCAGGTTTATGATTATATTTAGCCTTAGTCTTACTCTGAAATCCAACTATGGATTAATATATCAAATTAACAATAAATAATACAATATGAAGCTAACTACAAATCAGATTTATTTAGGAAGGATTTAATATAGGATTGGTTGTATGCATTCTTTATTTTCTATTTTTAAGTGAACAAATTAGCATTGATTAAAATTCTAATTATAATCACTTTGCACATATTTAGGTAACCAAATAAAAATATTAAAGTCTAATTTTGGTTGTGCATGTGAAATTACTTCAAAATTCTCATGAATGACTTCAATGCTTTTTCCTACTTTCCACACTACATATGGAATATTCTTTTTAAGGACCTAGTTGTACACCTCTATATACCTCATACCTAAAACAAAAAGTAGCAATTTCAATAGAATCAAATTATTTACAATTAACCAGGATTCCTTTCTGCTTTCTGAAACTGAGGAGAACCATAAGCATTTAAAATAATTTAGTTGGAATATGCTATTGTCTCTAGCAACGATTGGTGTCTGGTTAGAAATTTTGATTGCTCAACTTATTCCAATGATATCAGTGTCTATAATTTGGAGAAAAGATACTATTTCTGCTATCTGTTTATTAAATTTTATGAAAACATTTTACACAATTCCAAGAGTAAATAATTTACCTCTTCTTCCAGCCAATCGTTGTACTGGACAATGGTGGACATAGCAACATCAGCACCTTTCATATAAAATGTGATTTCTGCTGTAGACTCATCCTGTAATAGTGAAAATACACACAGGGACAGTAGGGTCACATCACTCTTTGCAAATAACTGCTGGCCTAATATAAAATGCACTGGAAAAAGCAATTCTTAGTGAACATATTCCTTTGTGATGAGCTATTTGCACATTTTTTTTGGTGAAAATTATCGCTTAAATGCTAGCACAATAAAAATTGAGAATATATCATTGTATTTCTTGAGAGGTTTTGATGAAATTTTTGAAACAGAATTTGTTAGTGAATAAAAATGTAGGCTGGAATGTAAGCATTGATTCTCTCAAATTTTCAAAGTTTGATTCAATGCTTTATATTTAGCAGACTTCAGAGATATAGTTTTGCCAAGAAAACCTTAATAGAGGTATACTTCAGTAACTTTACAATCATAAATCATTATTAAATTTAAACTCTTTGGCATGATACTTTTCTGGAAGACAAAATAAGTATAGTTGATTTTAAAAATTAATAATATCCTTTACATATTCTTCCTTTGCAGTCTTAAGAGTATTATTTTATATCATCAGATATTTCATATCATTACAGCTGACTAGCTTCTTGGTAAAAAATTACTAGTTTTATTTTTTAAAAAGTAAAACAAGCATAAGGCATTTGAGTAAATATTTAAATTTTACCTTTCTGGGGGAAATATTTTGTATCTACTTTAAAATAAATGACTTGAGTATGTAGGCCCTATGAGTAAAGTCAATATGATGTGAGCGTACTTTGACAATGATGCCCATCCGCTTGCTCTCAGAAGTGAAGGGGAACATCTGCAGGATGCAGTAGGTCAGAACTTGGCCACCAGGAGTCTTCAGCTGCATAGACGTGAGGTCCCTGCTGACCAGAGTGAGCCCAATGCTCTCTGTCCACCGCACCAGTGCAACCTGAAGAGACCACAGCGTGTGAGGTCTGACTACCTAGTGGATGCTGTGCAGAAATGGCACAGTACCTTGGCACACAGAAAGCTCCTTAAGACATGGTAGATCCAGAGACACATACAGTATTGAGAATGTTCCATTTTTGTGGCCATGTCAGATGTATATTTTTGAATGATACTTCTACAGGTGAACAATAAGCAATATGGCAAAGTGTTTCTTGGCCTTACTGTTTAAAACAGACTAATATATGCATCATAAAGATTTCTTTGCTGTTTGTGCTGACTAGCTCCCCAGAATGAGACAGGTTTAAATCCTGGAAGACAGCACATACTGGCCAGTCCCAGAGGCCAGGCAAGAAATCATATAAGTCATCAAATTTCCTCTACTCAAATTCTAGGGACCCATGAAGGAGCAAAAAATTTGAGTTGTCTATCTTGACTTTTTTCTAACATAAGCGAACAACTGGTGGCTGGTTAATCAACTGTACATAAATATGTCCACTTAACTATTAGCCAATAGAAAGGGGACAAAACAGCAAAGGAGATGGAAGGCTGGGGCCCTGAGCCTGACCAGAGCTGTTCATCCTGTTCTGTACTTGGCTGAGGCCTGACTTCCTTCTCTGTAATATGGAAAACATGCTGATCTAAATGTGAATTCAGTAAGTTCCCTGGCACATGTAGGTACTTGAAAATCAGAGCTAATGCTATTTAAAGTTATTTATTATTAAAATTTAAAAATCACAAGTGGAAGAGTAATTTTAATGTTATAAACTATTTTATTACAATAAATGTTTTCTGAAAAAGCCCTTAAAAGCTTCATTACAAGACATTAATTAGTTAATACATGATATACTAACCTTATTAGCAGTTAAAGAAGCAACATCCAATGATATACTACCTACAATATAGCAGTGCTGCCACAGGGGTTAGAGAGTTCATCAGACAGACAGCTCAATAAAACCACAAGTTTTTCTGTGATTTTCTGAAGTCAGACCACCCCTTGCCTTTGTTCTCCAGGCACGGCCTTGTCACCTCCAGTAATGTGGACATCTCCAGAGCCTAGGGGGGCCTCTTCCAAGCCCATCTCTCACAAGGCAGGGTGAGTTCATCTTTCCCTTCAGGTCTCACTAGCACCTACCCTTTCAGGAATTTATCTTGGATTTTGGGAATTCAAATTGTTTCAAGAACATTTTAAATTCTAGGCTGACTAGATGAGGTTCTAGAGTTTAGGCAATGGCTGCACCCCCTAAAATCTCAGCTTCTTCTTCTGTACAATGGCCAGATTGAAGCCAACTCTCAGGTCACTATGATCTAAGACATGCTACTGGAAAAGCAACTGGTGACTGTACTGCATCACACTGTTCAGTGTACTTAAGTTACCAATCAATTGTGAGGTTGTATGCTTAGTCCTTTCTCACAGAAACCACTAAATTCGCTCAGGCAGACTAGGAATCATTTTTAGAGTCAGGTTTTCTAAGCAACTTTCCACAAACCCAACTGCAGAATACTTCTAGTGAGATTTCCAGAATCTGAACTGGAGAGCTGTTTCCTTGTTTTTCATGCTGAGAGCTCCCAGTATGCAGGGTACAATGAAAGAAGTGTCAGGGACATTAGGGGACTATCACTCACCAGCTTTCCAGGACTACTGAGAGGCTTGTGCAAGCACAGAGTTCGGAGTGGAGCTGAAAAGCAGTGCATCAAATGCCCTGTGCTGAATGGTAAGAGGATACTTCCTCACTTCTCTCGGCCATATACTGGCATGACTGAAAATCAACACGCAGGCTTTGTCCTGAAGAGACCTGTAGCAGACACCCTGAATGCCACTCAGGCTCTCTCTAGTGGGCCTTTCCCAAACATTTCTCAGGATCTCAAAAATGGAAAAACTATACAAACAGGACTACTGTTTTAGGATAATAAAGACATATATCTATTTAGACACTTAAAAATTATTACATTTAGGGCCACGGATTTAGCTCAGTGGCACCAAGTCTGCCTCATGAGTGCAAGGACCTGAGTTTGATCCCCGATACCCCCCCCCAAATTATTACATTTACAAATTATATGTAGATAATGTATCACAGAAAAAACCATCAAAACTCTCTAATCTTTTAAAAGCTTACATAATAAAGTAAGCCTATAATGGAATAATTACAGAAAAATCAAGATCAAGAATGAAGTTATACGATACTTTTTTTTTCAGTTACAAAATCAGAAACGCATTTCTGTAAAGAAGGCATGAGGGATGGTAAAATAGCCTTTCTCAATGGAGTTTTTCATCTGTGCCCCAGAAAACAAAAAGTAAGATGAGGTACCATTTGCTGTTTCCAAGTGGTACACAATTAGTCATAACTACTGGTAGATTAAAAAAAAGGTAAGCTGAGGTACTGCATACAACCCATTCCTAGGGGCATCAGCAGCTCTGTCCAGAACCTGGAAAGGCTCGGAGGCTGCAGCAGAGCTGGTTGGCATGTTCTGCTTCCTTCATTGTTTCTGCATTGATCTCTGACCCTACTATCTACCCTCTGGTTCATTCCACAAGCCTAGCTGCTGAGCATAATTCAAAGTATGCATTCTGAATGAGCACATACAGTGTTCAAATTTCTCCTCAGCCCAAACTTATTTAGAAATACAAATTTCATGAATAAAAATACAAATTTCATTAATAAAATTGTATAGTTGATATTATAATGTCAAAAGATTTAAATGTATTGGAATTATTATTTTGCTATAAGCAACACAGTGAAATTAATCAGTTTTCATATGTAGGAGAGAAGTTACATCAGATCTCTTTAGTTAATGCCACAGATAAGGTCAGGGCATCTATGGTACACCTGTCCCTGCACACATGACTGGCTGAACAATTACACTTTAGGAAAAAGTTTGAATCTTAGTGCTTAATATGTGACTAGAAAATTAAATGGTGTCCTTACACAGGTAATACCTCTTGGTATCTAAACACTGTGATCAAATTGGAAAATATACACAACAGACGAATATAAAATTTAACAAAGTATGCTTGAATATAAAGCAAGAATAATGAAGGCCCTAACTTTCTGTTGCACTCTGGGAGTGTCAAACCACAGGTAAAGTATTTTGCTACATTTCGAAAGTATACTGTTCTGGGAGACACTCAGAATTATACACTAGAAAATATGGAGCATCTCATTCTCAACATGTGATCAATGCTTCATCCTTTTATGGAAAATGAATGAAATCAGCAACTTTTGATTTTTGTTCATCTTGATGATATTACTAGATCTTTCTACCCTCTTCCCAGAAGATAAATTATACATATAGTAGTAGATGAAATACTTAATTCTTATCAAATACTGTAAGAATTTCTTTGCTCCTCGTTTTCATGTTCTGTGAGAAAATAGTGAAGGTCTTTCTCTGAGGATACCTTTGGAAAGTCACTGAGTCACTATAACTACAGAGCCCTGTCATGTCCTCCTGGGGTAGGAATACAGGGTGAGAAAACTCCTACTTAAGGGACTCAACTGACTGAAGAAAAGAATGTATCTATGAAAACATCAAATGGCTTTCGATATCCCAGGTTTTAGAGGGTAATTTGTCACGTAGCAATAGCAGCATGCATCCACTCTCTTGACACTGGTGTTCTGTTGTTGGTGAGGACTATGCACTAAATGCTAAATGGTGCGTCACCAGTGGAACTGGAATTAGTACTCTCACTCTGAGTCTCCAGGGTGTTACTAAGAAACTGAAGTGCACTAAGAGCCTAACATCATCTACCGATGATCCAATACTGTAATTTAGAATGTCAGCAAGACACTCCAAATTATAGCACTGAAAAAAAGACACATGGACATCAACAGAACTGACTCCTGTCTAGGGGGAAAAAGAGTATATTACTACAAGGCTACTTTAAACCTAAAACAAGAATGACACTCTGCACATTTTTTCTCAACACAATGCCTCTATAAGCTACAAATGATCTAATACTCTCAAGATTAATTTTCAATTTACACAGTGAAAGGTTACTATTACATTGTGACCTGTAAATTGCATCTTTGGGTGAATACCCTGTCATCTCATAGTGCCCCACTGCAGTCAGTACTGACGCATTCTATATTTGGTGACTCCCATCTGTTTATTATTTAGTTTATGCTTGATTTCACAACCCCTGTGAGTTAGCAGCTTATAACAAAAATCACATTAGCTTCTTATACCTAGACCAGCATTCTGTCCAATTGTTTTTAACTGGTAAGCATTCTGTGGATTAACTCTCTATATATCACAAACCAAGGTGGTGGTGGGGGGAGTATTCAAGTTTTTCACCAGGTAGATGCTTTAATTATTGTCTTTCTTAATGTAACTTGCTTAGTGTTAGGAAGAATTCTTCCAATAATGCAAAACTAAACATTTCTGGATTAGGTCTATAAATAAGTAACTACAAAGCAAAATACCCTGGAGGAGGATATGTAGCCTCTTCAGAGTATTTGCTGTGACTTTATGCCTATGGATTCAGTATCATACACATGCCTGCTCTTTCTTACTGAAGTCAGACAAGTCCAGATGCTGTGTCCCAGGAAAGGCTGACCCAATGATAGCAAGTCTACAGTTCTGCCTTGAACCACCAGTGGTATAAGCATGACTGTCCCGTCAGGCAGCTTGTACCTCTGGTGGTACAAACAGACCTAATCAGTTTTATCCATCTTTTTATTAATAAAATTAATTCAGAGCTGTCCAGCAGTGAGACATATGAATTAAATTAGAGTCTCCTGGGATCGAGACATATGAATTATAACACTATCATGTACATGTTAAGCTTTGCTTATGATGCCATTCCCACCACCCCAGGACCTTGAAGATTGAACCCAGGACCTCGTGTGCTAGGCAAGTGCTGTACTACTGAGCTACATCCCTAATTCTCTGGAATGAGCTCTGATATCTCACCTGATAGTCTGGAGTAGATTTAGTGAGGATTTGAGTAGTGAAAAAAAAAAACAAAAAAACTCCAGAGAATTCCCAGTGTGTATGTGAAATGTA